TTTTTTTTATAGATCGTTGGGTTTCGCAGTGATTATGATGTTATAAAGAGATTTCAGAGGTTTTGCATTGCCTTTTTTTTTTCTTTTTGCTTTCACATTTCTTTAAATGGAATTATAATATTTTCGATAAAAGTTGTTTCCGAATATTTAATTCCCGCGAACTAATAGTATAGTATTAAAACAATTTTTAATAAACGTAACAGTTATAACGATTATATTCTGTTGGTCCCAATCATAGTGGGGTAATAATTTTTATCCCACTAAACTAAAAGGAAAATATCTAAAATAGTTGAATTAGTGGAAGAAAATATCGTCGAATAATTATCCAAAACATTCCCAAATCAGTGTGATCTTTTTCACGTATTCTGTTCCATTATTTACAGATACTTTTACTACGAAAATGATAGTTTTTAAATACAGTAAAAGACTAATCAGAGGATAGTTATGTTACCATTACCTAAGAAAGCCGTACGAATTCAACTATAATGTTAGTTCTTCTGAATTTCTGATAGATAGAAACTATAATTTCCGAAGAATATTATTTTACGAAAAAAAGTTAATGCTGTTTCTGTAACTGTACGACTTGTTTTAATAGTTGAAAAACTTTAAAAAAAAAAGTCTTTAGGGTCTCGAATAGAAACAAAATCCAAGTATAATCACAATTTATTTCACCAAAAAAAGGGTCCTGCATCGGATTTCAAACCCTATAAAAGACAAAATAAATCATTCATCGAATAAAGATACTTATATTCCAAACCAACATGACACTAAAAGCTATAATTAAAGTGATAATCAAAGATTAAAAACCGGACAATGGTTATAACATTTCTGGCGGGAAAACACTTTTTTCCTTATTAATAAACCGGCGGAAAAATAATTTGAAAAAAAAAAAGAGAGGAGAAAATGAAAGAGGGTGCATGAATCAAGGCTTTTCTCATGTGAGATGTCCCCTTCATACGACGTCGTATTTGCGCCACACTTTACTTTCTTCAACGAAACCAATAAAATTTTAATAAAGTGAAGAGAGAGATTCGAACGCTAATACCAATAAACTTTTTGAGAGAATGATACATTCAATGATTTTGTACTTGCATTTACGATCATCGTCTGAAATTAATCACATTGTATAAAAGTTAGTACTATAAATTGTAGACAAAACCCATTATTATTCGGTTATTGTTAACAGTAAAATATGATCATACCAGTAAAATAAGATCA